AGCCTGAAGAAGAGAAGGCTGAGAGGAGACATGATGAGGGCCATGTATAAATATGTGAGATGAAGCCACAGGGAGGAGGAGGGAGCAAGATGGTTTTCTGCTTCCTTGGAGACTAGGACGCAATGGAGCAATGGCTTCAAACTACAAGAGAGGAGATTCCATCTGAACACGAGGAAGAACTTCCTGACTGTGAGAGCCATTCAGCAGTGGAACTCTCTGCCCCGGAGTGTGGTGGAGGCTCCTTCTTTGGAAGCTTTTAAACGGAGGCTGGATGGCCATTTGTCAGGGGTGATTTGAATGCAATATTCCTGCTTCTTGGCAGAATGGGGTTGGACTGGATGGCCCATGAGGTCTCTTCCAACTCTTTGATTCTATGATTCTATGATTCTATGATTCTATGATTCTATGATTCTATGATTCTATGATTCTATGATTCTATGATTCTATGATTCTATGAGGCTGGGTGGCCATCTGTCAGGGGTGATTTGAATGCAATATTCCTGCTTCTTGGCAGAATGGGGTTGGACTGGATGGCCCAGGAGGTGTCTACGGTCCCCTCCAACTTTTTGATTCTATGATTCTAGGTGGGAAAAGCTCTCATGTCCTGTAACTGAGCTTCCAAACTGTAAGACTGAACTAAAAACTTTCTTTCCCTCCCAGAACCCTGGGGAAAGAGGCGGAACTAAAGAACTTAACGATGATAGGCAGGTGGCTGGCCCTATGGCTGCAGCCTGGAAGGAACCACCCAACTGCAATATGCATGGCCAAAACAAACACATGCATAGGTAAAGGTAAAGGTAGTCCCTGACATTAAGTCCAGTCATGTCTGACTCTAGGGTGTGGTGCTCATCTCCATTTCTAAGCCAAAGAGCCGACGTTGTCCGTAGACACCTCCAAGGTCATGTGGCCGGCATGACTGTATGGAGCGCCATTATAGAAAGGAAATTTAGGCTTCTGGTACAGCTGTACCAGCACAGAAGCTATCTAATGTTTTCAACCCTGGCCTCCAGTGGCTTCAGCACTTTGGATAGCTCCTTTCATGCTTAGACTAAAGCGCAGCATAGATCCGCCAACCACTGATATCAGAGCCATCAACCTCCACCAGCATCCAGGTCTCTTTACTTCTTTTATTATATCAAAGCACCACACATAAGTTATACCACGTCTGCCTGATGGGTGACAACTAACGATTAAGCTGTCACATTGATTAACACGGGCAGAAGAGATATTGCACATCAAAAAGAGCAATGTGGCACCAGGACCATCACAGGACCATGGGGTTTTGCAAAAGCGATTGCTGCGTAGGTGAGGGAGGGAGAATAGATTAAAATGCCCCCTGGATGCCTTTTGGCTCGCTTGCCCTGTTGGAGGCCCCAGAACCAGCATGGCGTTCGGTTGTGATTTATTTTTATTTATTTGTCGTGTCAATTGTACTATGTTTCTAACAGAACAAAACAAACAAACAGACAAAACACAAAATTTGCAAGTATGGTAGTTGATTAAATGTCCTTTGACCAGTATCTGGCCACTTGGAGTGCCTCTGGTGTTGCTGCAAGGAGGTCCTCCATTGTGTATGTGGCAGGGCTCAGGATGCATTGCAGCAGGTGGTCAGTGGTTTGCTTTTCTCCGCACTCGCATGTTGTGGATTCCACTTTGTGGCCCCATTTCTTGAGGTTGGCTCTGCATCTCGTGGTGCCAGAGCGCAGTCTGTTCAGCGCCTTCCAAGTCACCCAGTCCTCTGTGTGCCCAGGGGGGAGTCTCTCATTCGGTATCAGCCATGGTTTGAACCTGCCACTTTTGGACTCTTGCTTGCTGAGGTGTTCCAGCGAGTGTCTCTGTAGAGCTTAGAAAACTATTTCTTATTTAAGTCGTTGACGTGCTGGCTGATACCCAAACAGGGGATGAGCTGGAGATGTCTCTGCCTTGGTCCTTTCACTATTGGCTGCTACTTCCCAGCGGATGTCAGGTGGTGCAATACTGGCTAAGCAGTGTAATTTCTCCAGTGGTGTAGGGCGCAGACACCCTGTGATAATGCGGCATGTCTCATTAAGAGCCACATCTACTCTTTTAGTGTGGTGAGATGTGGTCCACACCGGGCATGTGTACTCAGTAGCAGAGTAGCACAGTGCAAGGGCGGATGTCTTCAGTGTATCTGGTTGTGATCCCCAGGTTGTGCCAGTCAGCTTTCGTATGATATTGTTTCTAGCACCCACTTTTTGCTTGATGTTCAGGCAGTGCTTCTTGTAGGTCAGAGCACGGTCCAGGGTGACTCCCAAGTATTTGGGTGTGCTGCAATGCTCCAATGGGATTCCTTCCCAGGTAATAATCCTCAGAGCTCGGGATGCTTGTCTATTCTTGAGATGAAAAGCACATGTCTGTGTTTTAGATGGATTAGGGATCAGCTGGTTTTCCCTGTAATAGGCAGTAAGAGCACCTAGAGCTTTGGAAAGCTACTCTTCAACTATCTCAGAACTCTCTGCTTGAGCGGTGATGGCACAATCATCAGCATAGATGAAACTCTCTGTCCCTTCTGGCAGTGGCTGGTCATTTGTGTAAATGTTTAACAAGAATGGGGCAAGCACGCTCCCCTGAGGCAGGCCGTTCTTCTGTTTCCGCCATCTGCTTCTCTGGCCCTGGAACTCAACAAAAAAGCTCCTGTTTTGTAGCAGGTTTCCTATGAGGCGGGTGAGGTGGTCGTCCTTTGTGATATTATACATTTTTCTCCGGAGGCGGCGGTGGTTCACAGTATCATAGGCTGCAGACAGGTCTATGACAGGACTTTAGGAATTGTAATTGGGCTTGTAGGCGAATGATCTCGGAGGGAAAAACATGAACCAATCATCTTATTTCCCCCTATAATAACCCCGTCCATTTAAGCCTCTGTCATTTCTTTCCTTTTGCAGGAGTGTAAGCCAAAATTGTGGCGAAGCGTTGTCGTTCAGAAGGAAAACACTCTTTTAATTCAAGACGTTCAAGAAGAAGATGGTGGAAATTATACTTGCGAGCTGAAGTTCGAAGGGAAGCTCATACGGAGAACGACTGAGCTCAAAGTTACAGGTAAGGGCTTGGAAGGAAATCGCTGAACCTGGAAAAGTTGGCGGGAATAATTTAATATTGTTTTGTCTATTTGAGATTTAAGATAATTTAAAATTGTTTTGTCTTGGCATTGGATACATAGGTGATTGGTATTCTTGATCCGCTCCAGGAGTTGAGTGTAATGTCTGTAGACAGTCCAAGTTTCACAGACATATAACATGGTTGGAAGGACACTTACTTACTTACTTACTTACTTACTTACTTGCGAAGTAACCTGGACCTGGAAAAGTTGGCGGGAATAATTTAAGGTTGTTTTGTCTTGGTGTTGGATACGTAGGTGATTGGTATTCTTGATCCGCTCCAGGAGTTGAGTGTAATGTCTGTAGACAGTCCACGTTTCACAGGCATATAGCAAGGTTGGAAGGACACTTACTTACTTACTTGCAAAGTAACCTGGACCTGGAAAGGTTGGTGGGAATAATTTAAGATTGTTTTGTCTTGGCGTTGGATATTCTTGATCCGCTCCAGGAGTTGAGTGTCACGTCTGTAGACAGTCCATGTTTCGCAGGCATATAGCAGGGTTGGAAGGACACTTACTTACATACTTGCAAAGTAACCTGGACCTGGAAAAGTTGGTGGGAATAATTTAAGATTGTTTTGTCTTGGCATTAAATACGTAGGTGATTGGTATTCTTGATCCGCTCCAGGAGTTGAGTGTAATGTCTGTAGACAGTCCATGTTTCGCAGGCATATAGCAGGGTTGGAAGAACACTTACTTACTTACTTGCAAAGTAACCTGGCCCTGGAAAAGTTGGTGGGAATAATTTAAGATTGTTTTGTCTTGGCGTTGGATACGTAGGTGATTGGTATTCTTGATCCGCTCCAGGAATTGAGTGTAACTTCTGTAGACAGTCCACGTTTCGCAGGCATATAGCAGGGTTGGAAGGACACTTACTTACTTACTTGCAAAGTAACCTGGACCTGGAAAAGTTGGTGGGAATAATTTAAGATTGTTTTGTCTTGGCGTTGGATACGTAGGTGATTGGTATTCTTGATCCGCTCCAGGAATTGAGTGTAATGTCTGTAGACAGTCCACGTTTCACAGGCAGATAACATGGTTGGAAGGACACTTACCTACTTATTTACTTAGGTGAGCCCTCATAGTCCGAGTAGGATAGTCTTCCAAGATCGGTGTACTGGTGGGTCCGTAGGTGACGGTGGAGCCCTATTCTTGACCTGCGTGTTCTCCCGCAGTGAGGGCATTGGATTCCAGGTGGAAGGCAGTCCCGGTCGGGGTTGGTTTGACGCGCCTTCCTCTTGGCAATTTTCTCCTGTACACCCTCCATTCGTGCCTCTTTGAATTCCACAGCACTGTTGGTCACAGCTGACTTCCAGCTGGAGTGCTCAAGGGCTGGGGCTTCCTAGTTCTCAGTGTCTATGCCAGAGTTTTTAAGGTTGGCTTTGAGCCCATCTTTCAATCTCTTTTCTTGTCCTCCAACATTCCATTTTCTGTTCATGAGAATTAAATCAGTTTAATTATGTCGTAGAGCAACTGCTTTGAGAGATGGTGGTTGAACATTTGGACACTGTAGCCAGTCCAGCAGAGTTGATGGCGGAGGACCATCACTTCAATGCTGGTGGTCTTTGCTTCTTCCAGCACGCTGACATTTGTCCGCCTGTCTTCCCAAGAGATTTGCAGGATTATTTGGAGGCAACACTGATGGAATCGTTCCAGGAGTTGAGTGTAATGTCTATAGACAGTCCACGTTTTGCAGGCGTAAAGCAGGGTTGGGAGGACAATGGCTTTATAAACAAGCACCTTGGTATCTGTATGGTTGTCCCGGTCCTCAAACACTCCCTGCTTCATTTGGAAAAATTCTGCACTCGAAGAGCTCAGGTGATATTATATTTCAGTGTCAGTGTTGACATTTGTGTTGAGGTGGCTGCCAAGGGAGAGGAAATGGTTAACATTTTCTAATGTGACACCATTAAGCTGTATTTCTGGCATTGGAGAGGGATTGGCTGGTAACTGCTGGAAGAGCACTTTGGTTTTCTCGATGTTCAATGAAAGGCTGAGCTTCTCGTATGCTTCTGCAAAGCGTTTTAGTTCTTCTTCTGAATGTACACAGACTACGTTATCATCGGCATATTGGAGTTCTATAACAGATGTTGTTGTGACTTTGATTTTGGGTTTCACTCTGCTGAGGTTAAATATCTTGCCATCTGTCCGATAGATTACTTCCACTCTGGTGGGAAGCGTCCTGTCAACAAGATGCTACACTGCCATATAATTCAGTTCAAAGAAGATAATGTGGATTTTATACAGCTGTGTAGAAAGGGTCTCAATGTGCACACAACCAGATTTCTTATAATCTTTCTCACCCTATATACATTTGAGCTCTGTTTAATTTCATAAACAAAGGAATGGTTGCAGCGAGTTCTTGTTGTAATTGCTTTCCAGTTGTGCTTCCATTCAGCCACCTCTCTGTCTGTGGCTCCGTTTGTTTACAGCCCAGATCAGCCATTTTGGGATTACGCTGGAGCAATCCACACCAGCATATAAGAACAAAGTCCCGTGTTTTCCTTGACTGCAGGGATATACATGCGAATACAAACATTTTCTGGCCAAAATCGAGTTTTAATCACACCTTTTTATCATATGTTTTTCAGCTGTTAATCAAAATCACTGTGCATTTTCCTTAAATGTTATTTAGCCACCACCCATTTTATCTTGGTTTCTTCCACATTTTAGGGCCAGTGTAGAAGAGCCCTTCATCCCATACCAACCAGTGTCAGTGTTGACTTTTGTGGAGAGGTGGCTGCTAAGGGATTAAGCGATTAACATGATTAAGCTGTATTTCTGGCATTGGAGAAGGATTGGCTGGTGACTGCTGGAAGAGCACTTTGGTTTTCTCAATGTTCAATGAAAGGCTGAGCTTCTCATATGCTTCTGCAAAGCGTTTTAGAGTGGCTTTTAGTTCTTCTGAATATGCACAGACTACATTATCATCAGCATATTGGAGTTCTATAACAGATGTTGCGGTGACCTTGGTTTTGCCTTTCATTCTGCTGAGGTTAAATAAATACAAATAGACAAACTATTTAAGATTGTTTAGTCTATTTAGATTTCTGGACAGAATATTATAGCTACTGACATATAAGATAACTCAGAAGCAACTTAGCAAAACAGAACTAAACTTGATTAAAATCAATGACTTCATAGACATACATCAAATGTGAAATTTGAAAACATTTGGAAACTTAATGTGTTGACCTCCCTGGATGCAAAGTAATGGAACGGAGAGTCACGGTCTAAAGAAAATCAATTCAAAGTGATGAATTGAATTAGAAATTTCGGAATCGGAATGCGTGCTAAGGTTTGTTTGCATCAGCCTGAGTTTGAACAGAGACGAAGGGTTAATTACTTATTGCCAAAATGTCTGTATTACCAGCAACAGTGTTGTTAATAATCAGTGTTAATAATATAATTGTCACCATCCGTACTTTCTGCATCTAATTACGATCCTGTCGACCACGTACATTACGGATAGGACTGAACTTCTGAAGGTAATTCTTCACTGATTCGAGGAAGGGAATTGCAAATCAAAAAAGACTGTCTGGTAGGCCTGTGCGATTCGTTTCGTTAATTCGTTAATTCGTTAATAATTTGTTAATTTTACCATTTCCGAAGCGATATTGAAACAAATCTCCAAACCCGGAAGGGTTTATAAATATCGAACCAGCAGCCCCCATAGTATTTACGAGCCTCCGCTCGTTTCGTTAATGGGGTGGAGGCTGCTGGAGTGCTGGTGCATGGGAGCCAATCCGGCGCTCCCAAGCAGTGCACCATGGGTCCGTGGCTGTCCCTTTTTGATTGGCCGGCGAGCCCTTTCAAAGCGGCTCCGCGCGGCCCGTAGCTTGGTGCAGAGGCGAGGGCGAGGGAGTTTGCATTGGGTTGGCTTGGCAATGGCTGCCTGCTAGCAACGAACTGGGATTGGATTCATTCCTTGCTGCTGTGAGTGCTGCTTGCTTCATTTGCTGTCTCTTGCCTGTGTTTGGTCCACATTTGGGCCATTTTTTGGTTAATTGTCCATTTTAAAATATTTTTAATATTATTTTTTAATATTATTTTAATATTATTTTTAATATTATTTTAATATTATTTTTAATATTATTTTTTAATTTTATTCTTAAAAAAATTCTAAAAAAGAAAAGACTCTTCTGTTGGTGTGTGCTCTCATTTGCTGTATCCTGCC